GAATTCCAGATTCAACCCTGTAACTCAGTAACATGTGGATGTTTTCTTTCACTTTAATTACCTGTGTCTTTTATTAGGCTTGTAACACTTTTGTCCATTTCAGAAACAATTTCATTTTATATTTAATTAAAACTGGCTTGGAGTGATGTCCCAGTAACTGAACAGTACTAAAGCATTTCGTACACAAGGCTACAAGCCAATTCTGTAATCTGGAGTCTTTGGACCACTTAAGCAATTGTTTAACTCCCCAGCACGTTCTCCAGCACATCTCAAACAATCTCAGGCTGCCCCAGATGGAATGGGAACCGGTATCTCGTAACTAAGTCACTGTCTTGCGGTGAGAGACAAGAGGCTCTACAGCATGAAATGGGAGCCCCATGAACTCTGCAAATCTTCAGAGACTTTATCACTCTCATTTGGTGTTTTAAGTTCACTATTTACTCATAACATAGATCAGTTTACTGGTCATTTAAGCAGACAGATGAAAGGGGCTTTTCCATACCTAATATTGTCTCCCTCAAGAAGATATTAATTCACTGAAACAAGTCCCCTTTGAATATTCTCTTTTGATAAGCTAAATATTCTTTCAAATCTGAAATTATTTTCAAAGAAGTTTCGATAACTCATACCAATTTTTCAACACATAGGGGTTCGCCATCAAATTTATTTAACAAAAATTATTTTACATAAGCAGTGCTGTTACTCACAGGAGTTTGTGTTGGCATTCATGCTGTTCAACATATTTATAAGTGACCTGAAAATGGGAGTGAATGATGGAACAAAAATCTGCTGATGATATTAACTAATTAAGAGGAGCAAAGAGAAGGGCTGACTGAGAGGAACTGCAGAAGGATTTATGAGACAGACCACTTAGTAAGACAGAAGATGAAAAATCTGTAGACAGTGATACATACAGGGGAAAAAAAAAAGTCACGACTTTCCATATACAACGAAAAGAGCAAATAATGGCCAGTAAAGGCAAGATCTTGGGATTACAATAAATAATTCCTGAAAACAATTTGCTTTTCTGATTGCTACTAAACTTTGAGCTAACAGAATGCTAGGAATTATTAAGTAGAACACAAAAAACTTTCTGAAGTCACTGTATAACTCTAACACGCACTTCTAGCTTGAATTTTCCATGCAGTTCATGTGCACACTCTTCCCCTAAAAAAGGATACAGAACCAAAATGCTGCCACAGAAGGTTTTCAAGGGTGCCAAGCAGCATCTGTACAAGGCATGATCAAGTAACGCCAGGACTCTTCCTTTTGGAAGAGAGGTAACTGAAGATTTACTGTGAAGACAACAGAGATAATGACTGGAGTCCATAACGTCAGGAGTAGCCTCAAGAAGGTACATAAAGAACAAAGTAGGGTTTACCTAGCGAAGGTAGAAAACATCATGTTCCAATCAAGGAAAATAATGTGGTACTGGACAGAACAGAGGAAGTCCTTCCCACCTGGGTGCTCTGGATGCAAGGACTTTCCACGTGTTTAAAGAGAGAATGCATCATTTCATGGAAGATAAACACATTGAGGCACTGAGTGTCAGTAAGACAGCAATTCTGGCCCAAGAACCCTACGCAGAATTCTTAGCTCTACTTATCCAGGTTCAGTGAGTTAAAAATATTTACCCTTTTTAGCTCCAGCTTAGCATCACCCTAAATTACTAATTAAGCCAGAAAATAGTTCATTATATTGAACTACACTCACTAACAACAACCTATGTGCAGAAATACTCCCAAGTGAAATACTGACAAAAAACCAGTTCATCAAATGCCTACTTCGTATATGTCACAAAAGAAAAGGAGCCTATCCACATTGGACAGCATTTTAACTGTAGGTCTCCTTTTTAACAGATCTTCAAATTGAACTAAACGTATAATTATTTAGCACCTGAGAGAAATTCTCACTCCAAAAGTATGTACACGTCTTCTCTGGTGTACAAAAAAGTGTTCATTGATACCCCTTCCTGTTTTTTATTTTCCTAAAAGATGTGTTTGGTAATGCAAATTGGACATATTTTTCAAAATCTGCAAGTTATACCAATGACAGAAACTAATTGTTTCGTCTTTTGTGAAAGTGTTCCTTTTAAATATAATTTGCATACTTTCTTGATCTCGTAGATAATCTAACACTTCAGGACAGTAAAGAAGAAAGAATATGAGTAAAAGCATCAATTAGGCAGGTTCTCAGAAACACCTATGTCTTACTCTCTTACGATACTTTCTGGAGGCTGCTAAACACCTACATGCCTGTGAAGACATGGTCTCTTGTTCACACTTCTAGTTTTGTGGTCGCCATATTCTGAAGTCTTCAAAAAATTTTTCTCTATAATTCAGCACATAGTCTTCACAGGTCTCATGCTTACTACTGTCACCAGAAACTCTTTAAAAAAAAAAAAAACAACATCTCTAGGAGCATATTCCAGTGTATGAATGGCCTTGTTTAACAGGAATCTGTTTTCTGCAGGAATACTAGTAGAGCTCAGTAATGGGCAGGAATTGTGAGTTAAAGAGCCATTGGGGAAATAATGATATAGTGTGTTTACACGAATAATACAAAGGAATACCGAAAAGACAAGTCAATCAACTGAATTGACTATTGAATTTCTATCTCTTTTCAAAGTATTTACAAGAAACTGACACAAACCAACTACTACTTGGTAGAGATAGCAGGTTATGAGGTACCTGAAAAAACAGTCCAGAAAAAACGGAAGCTACAGGAATGAGGTCTTAGATCACGCTGTACTCAAAGACACTTCTGAAACCCAATGCTCTTGTAAATACTGAGGACATCAAAAGGACAGTAAACAAAGACATACTTGTAGTTTCAGACATCAGTAATGCACAAAAATTCTACAAGTCAGAGACTGTATAGCTTAAAAATCTCCACCAGATCTAATATTTCTAAATATGAAGTGAACCGTACCTTCTATATAGTGTTCTTCAGCTGCACAACATGCTACATTAGTACTTGTCAGTCAAAATGAGCCACAGATAAATAAGGTAATTGTTCACACTCACCTAAATATGGAATAGTAGGAACCATTTTTAAGCTTCTGATGTACTCTCGTGTCCTTTTATAATTATCTTCCTTAGACAGTAAATAGTCTAACTTCTCAAAAGTGGTCTTGTATTTGCGATTCAAAAGCTACATAAAAAAAATTAAGGAAATCACAAAATAATAGAAAGACGAATTGACACAAAGACAACAACAAATAATAAAATTCGTTGAATCACCCACAGTAAAGGAAAGCATAGTCAAGTTAAGATCAAATTCATCATCATGACCCAAACCTGCACAATGTTTGAAAACGTGTTACCCGTTAAGAGAAAAACAAAATAAAACAAAACTTTTGGGGGAAAAAAGTATAAGGAAAGTAAATTACTATGATACTTAAATCTCTCTTTTCTCTCACTGGACTTACTACAGAAAATCAGAAAAATATTTAGCAATGCAAAAGATCCTAAAGTGATGGAAGACTGAAAAGTAAACCCAAAATATGCAAATGTAAGTATAAAAACACATTCCCTATTGCAGCAGGTTTTAGAAACACCAGTAATATTTTTTAAGATGATTTTAAAAGCCAATTGAGTCAGAACGAGTGGAGAATTATGGCACTGTACACCGGCTTCTTGCAGTTGTACTTTCTGAGAACAGACAGCTGTTCCATAGCACATTTCTTAATACACCTCTTCCTCTGCAAAATTCCATCTCTTGTACTACAGAGCTCATAATCCTAGCTGTTCTGTTTCTAGAGATCTGCGAGTCTGCCCACTGTTATAAAAAGCACTGCAGTGGGTACTGCTTCATTCAGCCTTACTCGGAACAGGAGGGGCTCACAGGAGCCACCAGTAAAACCACACTGTCAACAGAAGCCCTGAGGCTGTTTGCAGTTCCGGACAGTGCTCTGCATCTTAGTTAAAAAACAGCTGTCAATAAAAAGTAACATGAAAGGTACAAGAGCAAAGAGATTTCAGTACAATTTTGCTGTTTTCTTTCTTAATAGCACTGAGAATTCCTTGAGGGCCTGACTGCACTGTTCTGCATTTTTGAATTACTGTGTCTACAAAGAGCCTTACACCTCTTTATGTCTAAGTCGAATTGTTCACACACTTAGTTTCAAAGGTGGGTGATTTTCCCTATTTAAGTTCTAACTTCATCAAGGTGCTTGAAACAGCAAGCACTTACATTTTTATTAGACTATAGCCTAATTCTGTGCTATCAAACCATAAAAGTTACAGGCATTTTTAAAACATAATAAACTTAGGTAAAAGACTTAAGTATAGCCATCTTTGTTTATCAGTTCTGAACAGTTATTGTGATCTATGTTGGCTGGAATATGGAATTAATGAGAATTACCTAATTCTCTGTGTATTTAAAGATTACATACAGCAGGACTACATTATAATTGCGTATTTCACTTTAAAGAAATAGCAAAGCTGAACACTAAGCTTAAATGAGAAATTCTGCCCTCAGGAGACTAAATTTCTGAAAACGGAATTATCAATGCATTTGATTTCTAAAATAAATGAAAATGGAAATGCATTGTATGATAATCACAAAATTAATGCTTCTATATTTATAATAGGTCTTTTTTCTTCCTTTCCTTTTAGGCAATGACACACACTATGATTTGGATAATGGGATACTGATACACACTCTATACCAGAGTCTTCTAAGATTGCTTATGAACTGAAGTCCTCTTGAGCACATAATCAGTGCCTTCTAAAACAGACAGGAAAAGCAGGAAACTCTTACAGGAAAAAATATGCAGCCGTTTAAACTCCACTTTCACAAAACGTGTAAGAGATCACTACTTCTGCTACCGTGGTACCACAAAAACAAAAAAATAAAGAATCTTCTTCCAGAGCATGTAATTTGACAATTCAGAAGAATTCAGAAAACCTCAGAATTCAAACAAGACAGAAAAGACAATGGTCAAGGAGTAACTTACAGCCCAGGTTTTGGTCAGTCTGAAGATAGGTGCACTTTGCAGTGCTGACACCACGGACATAAGAGAATGAAGGTTATTCAGTTCTAGAAGCTTCTGAAAAAAGGGAATAATAACTTTTAGCACATCAAAAAGTGAAGCAGGATTAATTTATCTCAAAGTTGCATTAATAAAATATACATTTTTTGCATTAATAAAATACAAAGTTTTCACCAATGACTGCCCAGAACAACATTATTCAATGGTGTCAATGTGCAAGGTTAAGACCACTTTAAAAGTTGCAAATTCTCCAAATATATCCCTCAAAACAACAGGCATTTCAGTGGTGAGAATACAAACTGTATTTGAATTCGTTAATTTCTAAGGCTGTTACTTCAGGAACAGAAAATATGGAAACATTATTCGACGCACTGTTCTTGAAAATAAGTATAATTTTGGAAGTCAAAAATTTAATCAAGCTAAAAATATCAAACAAAGATGGTGATGACCCTTTTAGAATTAATACCACTTTTTATTTTGTAATCTGTTTTACAGGACAAATTTTCCTCACTTCAACATACTTTAAATTCACTCTGCGTTGACCATTCCTCAAAGCACATTGATCTCAAAAGAGATAATACTTTGGAATAAAGCTGTCTTAGATGATAAAGTTTCCTACAACATAGTTCTAGAAAGATAGAAAAAGAGAATTGCTGTCATGTAGCTTCTTTGTAAACCTTACAAAGAGGCTGGATTCATCCTTGAGTGATTGATCTACTCATTGCTCAGGAGCATTTGAGGAAGATACGGATTTTATTGAAAGAAAAGAGAGCAGTGTTTTCCTTTTTGCAGGGGAGGGGGGTGGGGTGGGGTGTGCAGAGAACACAAAACCAGCTCACCACCTCTTACTTCTAAGAACAACCTCGCACCTCCAAGCTGACTGTTCTCCTAGTGCTTGGACTATGCATTTCTACCAGGAACTTTTTCAGAAACATTCTCTTTGCATAAGCACAAAACTGCTAAGTGAACTGACTGGAAAATATTCATAATACAAAAAAAAAATAGTTTGTATTACATGGAAAATGTTATTCTAATTACCTATACACACACACAATTTCACACGTTCAATATTAGCACTCAGGCCTTTGATCCAAGTGCCGTCCTCTTATTAATATTAGTAAGTGTCACACAGGGTCATACAGAACAGAATGACCACAGGTCATGAAGCAGAAAAATATTTTTTAAAATAAATAAGTTTTTTAAAAAGTTAAGAATGACTTGTAAAATGCAGTGCTCAAATTCATTTAAAATAACTCAGCTTTAACAGCGGTACTTTATACCAGCAACTACATGTCACAAGTAGGAATAAAAGTCTCAACAATAGCTGCTTTAGAAGCAAGAGTTTTCTTTTCATAAAAGGTAAGTTTGAACAGGGGGAGACAAAAACTGGAACAGTTTACAACCATGTTCAGTGTTGGCAACATGTAGCTGGCCATCAACAAGACAAACCACTTTTAAACTTGTTAGGCAAAGGTACAAGACAAGTCACACTGAACTGGGTAGTTTTCTTTAACCAAGTAAAAAACAATAGATGTCATAACTTTATCTTATTCATATAGTACAACATAGCAGATATGCTAAAAAAGAACGCTGCCCTCTGTAATACAGTAATGGTTCATAGGAGTAGTGCAGAAACAAACAGAAAGGAAATAAGATTTTGAGTGATAGTACAAGAAATTTGCACTTACTTTAGCTATTTTCACAAAATGGCTCAATATTTCTGCCCTTATTTTTAAGGTCTGTGCTGTTAGTATTTCTCGTACAACCCAAAAACTGACCTATAAAGTAAACATATATAACTGAATGTATTCACAAAAAAAGGACTTTATTACTTTCATGATGCTATAAGAAGGAAACAGGGTAAGGAAAGAAAAGACTTCTGATCCCATGAGTTCTCATCTGTATAGGTGCAATTACCCAAAAGCATTACCACTGGATAGAAGTAGGTAGAGAAGTGAGGCAACACTAAGATAACTGAACGAGCAGGTAAAACACAGAAAAAGAAGGAAAAGAATTGCTAATGTGTACCATGACATATCAGCAAAAATTATTAGGAACCAATGGTCTAGAGGAACAACAAGAAAATATGGGCAAAGCAATTGAAAACAGGAACTGCCATTCTGAAATCTAATCCTCATTTAGAAAAATATTCATAAGTTTTAATTCATAGGAGTGGTTCTATTTAACTTTATACTCAAAGACATCTGTCAAACAGTACCTGCCCACCACAGGAATCAAATCATTTACCTGGTTAAACCTCCTAGTAAAGGCAACAACATTTGGAGCAAGGATATGTTTTTCTTTCTTATTCCATCCACAGCTGGCTAGTTCCTAGGAAACATATTTTAAAATTGCCTTAAAAATCAGTAATGTTTAAAACATTTAAAAGTATAAAAAACTGATACATGACAGAAGCATCTATCAGATAACTATGAAAACCAATACGAGACACTGATTCAATGACAACTAGTCTAACCAAACACTTCTGTGTTTTCCTGGTGTACATAAATGGTGAGATTCCTTTATTCTCCAGTACTAGAAAAACCAGACATCATTATTAATATTCAGATACAGAGAGACTAAGCAATCAGCCACAACTGATGTATCTGATGCTTCACTCTGCGTTCATTATTTCAGCCAGGGATCCCTCACATGAGCAGGTCAGCAGACACAGGAGTAAAGACTTTGCTAGTACATAATCTTATCTGGTTCAAAACTGAAGCTAAAGTGAAACACTAACAACAAGCAGTATCAGAAGTAGTTAAAGAGTACAAAAATCAGCTGTGCAACCAGAGCTGATAACCTAGCTATTATTCCTGAATGTCATCCTCATTATCACTTTCATGAATACACCATAGTTTAGCTTGTTCAATCTCTGATTTTTTTTTTAGTTAAAAGGTGACATCTAAAGCATTTTAAAAACACAATTGTGGAACTGTAATACTATTGTTTAGAGTAGTTACAAACTAATTTTAAAAACCCTGAAATGTATGTGATACTCAGTCTGACAGAATCTATCATTTGAAAAAGGCTGGACAGCAACAGTCTTAAGTCTGAAGGTCTTCTGGTGGAGAGAAGGTTGGGGTCAGGACTCTGTTTTATTTTGGATTTTGGGTTGGTTTTTTTTTCAGCTGTTTTTTAAGCCATGAGTTTAGCCAGATTTGACTGAAGTGTGGCATGAACTTAAGAATATAGATAGTACTTTGGTGCTAATAAATCAAAAAGTTGCCAGTAGGCTGCATAGTTCAGTCAGAGTATATGAAACAAATTTTTGAACGCTCTTTAATTACAGTGACTGCTTCAAAGTCAACTTAGTTCAAAATAATGAGAAAAACCACAAATTCTGTAGTATACCTGTAACCACAACTAATCAATTTCAATGCATAACAAAATTCCTGTGCTCTATGGGAAAAAAAATCTTAATGTAAACTGTAAAATAAATAGTAGAAATTCCTGTGGGAAATATAAAATAAACAGAAGAGCTAAAAAGCAGATGAATGATTTTCTCTTTAAATAAACTGTATTAAATTGGGCATCTACAGAAATGTGAAATTATAACTACAAATTTGATTTAGCCAGAATGAAAGTGTCCATTTTCCAATAGTTACTTCAGGCAGTTCCAAATATATTTAGACAGCCTGGCTCTCTTTGAACTACAGATTCATGTCAACACATAGCTATACAGTCTTTATATTCAGATCTGACAAGTGGTAGATACATACATACTGGAAACGAGTTCTTCATAACACCAGCTCTAAATCGCTCTTCTGTTTTCACAACCACAAATTTCAGTTTCAATCGAAACGTTGTTCAACTTTCCAAACATACACAATTAACTTTAGATGCCTCGCAGAGTCAGCCAAAGAGGATTCTGTCTCTGAAAAGCACTTTGTACTTTCTGATAAACAGAACACACTCTTGAGATGTTGACATCTGCATGTTCCTGTGTGAGCACCAGGAAAAGCATTTCCAGTTCCAAACATACTTGGTATCCCGACCCTCCAGCAGTTAAGCTTTCTGCAGATAAAAATGTCAATTCGCATTTGTCAAGACACTGTCTCTCCATGTGACTGGTGCACGTCTGGTCCTAAGAGTCTGGAAATTACATATTTATGCGGAAAAAACCTCAATCACTCTACTAGGAACAGCAAGATTTACTTTTGTCAGAAAAGTGGAAGAGGTCAGTAACCTAAGGATATTAAGCAGTTGCCAGAGGGCTAGTGAGCAAGAATGGAAAACTCTGTGCATGGTAAAATCATTTGACTAGGTTTAAAATTTGGACTGAATAAGAAGGTTGATAAGAGTAAGTGATCCAACGTGCCCCTGTTGGATTTTTTTTCATACTCCTAAAACGTACTGTGTTCTAGAATTACACTTCATAGAATAGTTTAGGTTGGAAGGGACCTTAAAGATCATCTAGTCCAACCCCCCTGCCATCTTTTTGCACGGAGGGATGCAGGCAATTTCTTCAGTGTACACAGTCACAAGAAACTTTCCAATCAAGTGTGCAAGAAAACCCCGAAATCTGTGGAGATTGCAATTTCCAGGACTTTGTAAAAAAACCCCGCAAACTTACAAAGAAATTCAGAATGTAAGCATAGTTCTTTCTGCTGGAGAACAAAGAACTGTCCTCTTACTGAACTCTTGCAAAGTAACAAGCAGATGTGTTTTTTAATAATAACTCGATCAAAAAGCAGAAAAAAGCCTCAGCAAGTGCTAGTTTTAAAGGACATTTGTGTGTTTGAGGTAAGACTTGGCAACCAGAACTCTAAAATCTTGAGTCTTCCTAACCATGCATAAGATCATGTTAAAGACTAAATATCCCTCTTCCCCCCAACACAAAAATTCAACAACAGGTAACTCACTAAAGCAACCAGCCCAACAACAGCTGACTAAAGAAACCTCTCTGTGCAGTTCTTCCCTGGAACTCAGCTATGCGACATCTAGCAAACAATTTCAGCCTCTCCATGTTTTTTTCATGCCCTCTTTCTAGAACAGGAAACTGGAAGTACTTACTTTTATTCACATCCCAGTGTATTTAACATCTTTTCCTGCATACAAAAGCTGATTCTGCACAGCCATTACGACCACCTTGCACGAGCAAGTATGAAAGGGAAACGAGGGACCATAACTCTGCATGCATCATATCCAGTGACACAACAGAATGAGCACATCACGGAACACAGGCTTCAACCAGAATATTGGCCTTTCCTTCTTCCATGCAACCCAGGGACACCAAAGGCAGACTCTGACAAGGCAGAGTTCCAGTGTAAAACGGCCGATGACCATCTGCCCATGAATAACACAAGTCATCTGCGTGAAACCCTGCAGGCCTCAAGGGGGTCGTTTATCAACGGATATCCAAGTTGACAGACACAGAAGCATGAATACACCAACATAATTTAAATGGCTACCGGGCCTCAGACAAATGCAGACAGTTACAGATTAACATTTAATCCGACCAGAAAATTTTAACCTTCTTAGTCCAATAACTTAGCTAATAACAAGAGGCAGGTAAATGACAAATACACAGACTATATCTTGCTTTAAAACCTAGACCTACAGTTGGCAGAATTTCAAGATAGAAACAGTGGCTTATTTTTGGCAAACCAAAGAACAATTAAATTATATTGATAATTCCAATAAGATGAAAGTCAGAAACTACAATTAAGAAGTAATAGTTCACGGCAACTGCTATTTATACACAGACCTGTATTCTAGCAGAACCTGAAAACACAATGTTAAGGTTTTTTCTGTATCATTGATCACTAATTTACATCTGCCAATCAGAGTAGCACCTCAGGAAATTTCATAGAATCATAGAATGGTTTGGGTTGGAAGGGACCGCAAAAGATCATCTGGTTCTAACGCCCAATTTAAATTTCATTCTAAAAAGGCAAAGTGAAGCAATGACAAAGGAAAAGAAGAACAGTAAATCAGTATTTTCTTTTGCTATAAAATTCTATGGCACAGATTATTTCATAGCAATTAAAACAAATGCAAAGTTCACTTCAAATGTAAACATCTATAGTTTCGTATTTTATTTTGTATTCATTAATCTCCTCAGAGTATCACACTACCTCAATTTTGGTGAAACCTCCATTTTATTCTGCTGTTTTTCTTAGTAAATTTTTCTCATGAATCAGTATCTATGTATCTATTTGTAAATACTGATATTTTTGTATTAACAGATTTTTCTACAGGTATTGCTGTTTTTTTATTTCATTGTTCATGTGTCATTTTTTCCCCCTCACAGTAAAGACTCGACTCCCTGACTGCTCAGAGAACACATGTAATTTCAGAAGCGTGACAAGTGTTTTTAGCCACAAAACTGTCGGTGTTCTTGAAAAAAAAAATTAATTTATCTGACAGGAAGGCCAGACCAGATCGATGAGTTTTTATTTTCCTTCCTATACTTTCTCAAAATATAAGGCTGCTAACGTTTCTGAACGACTGTAATATACAATTTGATTTGTTAGTGACCAAATTGGATAGATTGAGATTCTACTATTAACCTTCTAGACTACCATTGCTGATGTTGTCAAAATTTCTGTGTATATCACGGGGTTTTTTGTCCTTTATGTATTCATGATATTCCATCTAGGCACAAGAAGACAATAAACTATAATGGATCTAAGCAGCTGGAGTGTGTCCAGAGAAGGGCAATGAAGCTGGTGAAAGGTCTGGAAAACAGGTCTTAGGAGCAGCGGCTGAGGGATCTGGGGTTGTTCAGCCTGGAGGAGGCTGAGGGGAGACCCTATTGCTCCCTACAGCTGCCTGAAGGGAGGTTTTAGTGGGGGGGGGGTGTGTCGGTCTCTTCTCCCAAGTAACAAGTGATAGGACAAGAAGAAATGAGCTCAAGTTGCACTAGAGGAGGTTTAGATCGGAAATTAGGAAAAATTTCTTTACTGAGGGAGCAGTCAAACATAGGAACAGGCTGCCCAGGGAGGTGGTGGAGTCACTGTCCCTGGAGGTGATCAAAAAACATGTAGATGTGGTGCTTCGGGACATGGTTTAGTGGGCATGGTGGTGTTAGGTCAACCGTGGGATTTGATGATCTCAGAGGTCTATTCTAACCTAAAGATTCTATGGTTCTTTGTCCTTATATTAAAGAACTTGAAGCTGGAAACACACAATTCTTGTACCTTTTGCAGAAAAATAAATTTATTTCATCAAAATACAAGATAGCAATTACTTTATGCAAATTTAATATATTCTGATAACTTTCATTCATCATTTCTTAAGTTTTTATTTCTGATTTTCAAATGTCTATGTAAACTTCAATTGCTGTTCCTTAACAAGCCTCAAATTTCTTTCTGTCTCTTTCTTAA